ACCTGGATGCTGTCCTGAGCTTTGCACTCTAGGCTGTCACTTTACTACTTGAGCTACAGCTCCAATTCTGGCATTGCATGGTAAATTGGAGATATGCATATCTAGGGTTTTTCTGCTTGGGCTGGCTTTGAACTTTGGTCTTCAGACCTCAGATTTTTGAGGAGCTTGGATCACAGCCATCAGCTCCTGAGCCTTACTTGTTTTCCTTATTTTTAAAAGATTAAAAAAATTAGCATACAAGAGGCATTCATTTTGACATTTCCATAGTTGGATATAATGTAACCATTAACATTGCCACCTCTTATTAGTTTCTATTATCTCCCTTCCTCCCATCTTAAAACAATTTCAACTGTTTTTATTGTTTCATTTCAGAGTTTTAAGCAGAAGTAACACAATCTGACTTATGCATTATAAGATGGTCAAGCCCAGCACCTGTGGCTCACTCTGTAATCCTTGCTACTCAGGAGGCTGAGATCTGAGGATTGCAGCTCAAAGCCAGCCCAGGCAGGAAAGTCTGTGAGACACTTACCTCCCTCCAATAAACCACAAGAAAACCAGAAGTGGTGCTGTGGCTTAAGTGGTAGAGCACTAGCCTTGAGCTAAAGAGCTGAGGGATAGCACCCAGGCCCAGAGTTTAAGGCCCATGACCAGACCTCTCCCGCCCCCCAATAAAAAGATGTCAATTAAGGATTTATAATTCTGTAAGTCAGTCTTGGTCTCCCCATTTTCCATCTCCCATTTCTAACCCCAAGTTATGCAATTTGATTTTTATCTAATGTGCATTGGCAGTAATTACTATATTTGCTCACCTTTCCTCCCTCCATTCCTGTGGCCCCATTTGTCCTTTCCCCCCAAATAGTTCCACTTCAGTTTGTGTTTCTATGCATATAGCCCCATATGTGGTGTTATGCATGTTTGCATGTTTGATCTTGCTTCCACATATGAGAGAAATCATGGTGTTTGTGTCTCTGAGCCTGGCTTTTACTTAACGTGTTTTTTTTTTTTTTTTCCTTTCTGGGTCCATCCATTTCCTACTGCACGATAAAATTCCATTGCATATGTGTATCACATTTTCTTGATCCACTCACTTGTTTTAGGGCAACCGTGCTCTTTTCATAATCTGGCTATTTGTGAATATTTGTGCAAGTGTCTGTCCTGTCTTCCTACTGGTAATGCTCTAGGTAGATTCCCAGGTGTGGTATTGCTGGATCATAGGGTGGTTCTATGTTTAGTTTTTTGAGTAATCTCCAAACCACTTTCCAGAATGGTTATCCTAGCTTATATTTCCACCAACAGTATAATAGGGTCCCCACGCCAATCCTTGTCAGCATTTATTATTGTTCAATTCTTGATGCTTGCCAATCTTATTGGGGCGAGATTGAATCTTAATGTTGTTTTGATTTGTGTTTATTTCCTTTATAACCGGTGATGTTGAAAATTCCTTGTGTGTTAATTGGCTGTTCTTCTGAAGCCTCTAGCTCCTTTGCCCATTTAGTGACCAGGTTACTCATTGGAAGCAGGAAAAGGGCTTTAGTTTCTTGAGCCTCTTTTATATTCTGGATATTAGGCTTTGTCAGATGTATATTTGGTAAATACCACCTCCCAATCTATTTTTTCTTTTTTGGGGTCTGGTTGTAGGCCTGGACTCGGCCTGGGCGCTGTCCCTCAGCTCTTGAGCTCTACCACTTGAGCCACAGAGCCACTTCTGGCTTTTTTCTTTTTGCTTATGTGGTGCTGAGGAATCGAACCCAGGGCCTCATGCATTCAAGGCAAGTGCTCTACCACTGAGCCACCTTCCAGCCCCACGTCCTCCCAATCTATTGACTGTCTTTTTTTGTCCTTTGCTGTGCAGAAACTTTATAGTTGGGTGTAGTCCCATTTCTCAAGTTTCTCTTATTTGCTGAGCCATTGGCTCAGTTTTGCCAGTGTAAAAGATAGCCAACTTTAAAAATAAGCAGTAGAGATCAAGTATATAGAATCATGGAAAACAGTTGCTTTTTGACAAAATGTATGTGACAGATGATGGTAATGATAGGATGTTGGTTCCTAGGGCTTGAACTCAGGGCCTATGTGAGATCCTAGAGCTTCCTTCCACCCTCTACCTGCATGTGCCCCTGATCACCACCCCAAAGCTAGTACTCTAACGCTTGAGTCAAAGCTCTATTTCACCTTTTGGGGGGGTATACATAATTGCAGATTAGAGTTTCTTGGACTTCCCTGCCAAAGCTGGCTATGGACTACATTCTTCAAATTTCAGCCTCTTGAGTAGCTAGGATTAGAGGTGTGAGCCACCCCAACCTGGGTTGGGGTGCACTTTTTTAAGGCAGCAAGTACACTGGATATGATATGTGATGTAATAAAGGAGTCATGAGTTATTACCAAAGTTTTGGCCTCAGCACTTAAACCAATGGAATTACCATTAGCTAAGATGGGGAATTCTGTGGGGGAAACATTTTTGTGATTGTGGTGGAAGTGAATATGGTATGATTTACAAAGTGGTATTAAAATTTTTTTTCTTATTTTAGGACTAAAGTTGGCTTCAGTAACTACTTATGGTTTCCTTATTTGGGTTATTAGTAATGCGAAACTTCTGAATTCAGGTTTTCTTCTTTTAATTTCAAACAAGGGGGATGTTGTACTATGAAAAAACAATGAATTGTAATTACAAAATTAGATACAGTAATAATTTAAAAAACCTGTAACATACTACATAGTACAGTGTTTGGTCCTGGTCATGGAGTTCTTTATGGATAGTAATATATGTGAATGTGGTCTTCTTTTTGGCAAATAATTTTATTTCAATAAAGCACAATCCTTTATAGTCCAGTAGAAATTCTGGTGAAGTAGATCATCTTTGGAATAAAGAAAAACAGTACATATGAGCAGTTAAAAACATTATTTCTTAAAGTTTGATTTTTTTTGTTAATTGTAAATTAATTATCTTGTGTGTGTGTGTGTGTGTGTATATATATATATATATATACACACACACACACACACACACTTTATCAGTTCCATTCACTATAACTTTGTAACTGTTTTAAACACAAGAACACACTTGCATTCAATTTACTTTTCAAAAGAATAACATGTATTTAAGTTTAGCAACCCTTATGGCAATACTGGAGTTTTAACTTGGGACCTTGTGCTTGGCAAGCAGGCACTCTTGTCATTTGTTTCATACCCCCTAACCCTATGCCCTTTACAAACTGGTTTTTGGGTGTTTTTGTTATTGTTAAGTAATTGTGCAAAGGGGTTACAATTCCCCTAAATTAGATTATGAGTACAATGCTTTTTGGTCAGTATAACCTCTTCCTTTGTCTCCTAAATTATTGTCTCTCTCCCATACCCATAAGTTACAGAGTCTCTCTCCCTCTCTCTCTCCCCCTCTCCCTCCCTCTCTCTCCCTCTCCCTCTCTCCCTCTCCTTCCTTCCTTCCTTTCTTCCTTCCTTCCTACCTTCCTTCCTTCCTTCTTCCCTCCCTTCCTCTCTCCCTCTCTTCACCCTCTCCCCCTCTCTTCCCTCCACCTCTCTTTCTCTCTCTCTTTCTCTTTTCTTTTTCTTTCTTGTGCCCTGTCCTGGCACTTGAACTCAGGGACTGGGTGCTGTCTCTGAACTTTTTCACTCAAGACTAGTGGTATACCACTTGAGCCACAGTTCCACTTCCAGCTCTTTTTGGTGGCTAATTGGAGATTAGAGTCTCATGGACTTTCCTTTCCTAGGCTGACTTCTAGCTGAGATTCTCAGACCTCACCCTCTCCAATAGTGAGTTTTATAGGCATGAGCCACTGGCACCCATCCATAGTTCATTTTTTATATAGTGTACTTTGAATATAATGTATTTTCTCACCTTTTCTCTTTCCATTTCTGTACATTGCCTTTGCCCATTCCCAAAACATATTTCTACATTCATTTTGATAAAGTCATTTAGTTGCTCAAACTGCTTTTTTTTTTTTTTTGCCAGCCTTGGGCTTGAACTTAGGGCCTGAGTGTAGTCCCTGAGCCTCTTTGTGCTCAAGGCTAGTGATCTACCCCTTGAGCCACAGCCCCACTTCCTGCTTCTTCTGAGTAGTTTATTGGAGATAAGAGCCTCACAGACTTTCCTTTCTAGGGTGGCTTTAAATGGTGATCCTCAGATATCAGCTTCCTGAGTAGCTAAGATTATAGGGGTGAGCCACAGGTGCTTGGCTCCAAACAATTCTTAATGTAAAGCAAAACTTAATTACCTCTAGAATTTTAAACATGCATTCCTTTTCAGAGAAGGAAGAATGTGATAGAGTGAAAAAAATAAAAACTTTGAAACTGAGAGTTACAGATCTACCTTGCAGTGGGAAATTCTGTCTGTATCATGTAGATAGTTGTGAAACTAATTTTTAAACATTGGTTAAAGTGATGTTGAGATTAAGATACATCTCATTGTTTTCTGTCATTTTTGTTTTTATATAAGTTGGGAATTCAAGCAGCTGTTATTTAACACATTTTCAGAATTCTTGACAGAAAAATATAGTTTTTAAGACTAAGCAATATATTGAACCTCAGGAAACTAGCATGTAACATGTCAGGTTTTAAAAACAGGAAAGAGACATATGTGAACTCTTTCAAGGGAAAGTACAGGGAGCTGAATGTTGTTAAATAATCAATTAAAAGAAGAGTAGCGGGGCTGGGAAGGTGACTCAGTGGTAGAGCGCTATCCTTGAGCTGAAGAGGTGAGGGACAGCGCCCAGGCCCAGAGTTCAGGCCCCACGACCGGACCCCCTCTCCTCCCCCCAAAAAAAAGAAGAGTAGGATAAGAATCCATTCTAGGTGTCATGGACTGCAAGAATAAAGGTCAAAATGTATGAAAGCACAGTTTTAGGTGGGGAGATATGAAACTTGAGATGTAGGTTTCCACCTGCTGCTCATGAATGATCTTGAAGGCAATTATAAAGGAGTCTTCAGATTGATGTGAACCATGAAGAGGTCTAACAAGAGTGATATGGTTAAATTTTTTTCTTAAATAGATCACTTTGCCAGCTGTGTGGAGGATGGATTTGAGGGAGACAAGACTGGAGGCGGTAGTCCAGGTGAGATCCATTGGTAATCGGTACTAAGGCTTTGGAACTAGAAATGAAGGAGAGGGAATGGTCTTGAAACAAATCCACAGATTCAAGGGGGTTCCCTCCTTTCAAATATTTTTTTTTAAGTTTTAAATTAATGAGGTAAGGGAGCAAGCATAATAAAAAAAATTATAGCTGGCTCTTTTGTGTCAACAGCCATAAAAACAATCTCTGGTATCTAAAATTCCATAACTGGAACTACAGAGAGAGAGATGGAGAGAGAGAGAGAGTGTGTAAAATCTACCTGGGCTATGGGAAGATGATCTCTAACTAAGGTAGTATAGTACAAGGATCAACTGTCTCTGTAGTATGGCAGATTTTGAAACTGTAAAGCCTTGAGGAAGAAAGTATTACAAGGCTTCAGCTACTGCATATGGTAGAAACTTAAATATCCAGTGGTGCTGATAGTTTCTAGAACTTTTACAGGAAAAGCAACTCAATTTTTGCTATTTTGGGTGTTTTGTTTTTTGTTGGTCATGGGGCTTGAACTCTGAGCTTAGGCTCTGTCCCTGCGCTCTTCAGCTCAAGGCGAGCGCCCTACCGTTTGAGCCACAGTGCCACTTCTGGTTTTCTAGTGGTTTATTGGAGATAAGAGTCTCACGGACTTTCCTGCCCTGGTTGGCTTTGAACTGTGATCCTCAGATCTCAGCCTCCTGATTAGCTAGGATTACAGGTGTGAGCCACCAGTGCCCGGCTTGGGTTGGTTTTTGTAGTGGGACTTGAACTCAGGGCCTTAGCTTTTTTACTCAAGGTTAGTGCTCTAACCTTGGAGTCACAGCTCCTCTTGTAGGTTTTGTTGTTGTTGTTGTTTTGCATAGTTAATTGGTGATAAGAGTCTCAGAGTTTTGGTATTTTTTTTTTTTTTTTTGCTTTGGTCTGGGCTAGCTTTGAAATTTCATCCTTAGATCTTAGCCTTCTGAGTAAGGAGGATTACATGTGTGAATCCCCAGTGCCCAGAGGCAGCTAGATTTTTAAAAATTAACGAAACAATGAACAGTTGTAAATTCTTGTAATGTGAAAACATATTTTAGAATGTCTAGATAAAATGTTTTAATATTAAAACAGTTTGGAATCTTTATATGAAAGCAAAACATGTTTCTTATGCTAAGCAGATAATTTTAAGATCATTTTGAAAGACACACTTTCTATAGCTATATGAAACAGTCAGGATTTATATATTTTTGGAAAAACCCCCACCTTTTTCTATAATTTCCATGGCAAGTGTAAGGATAAGAAAAAGATAGTTTGGAAGGATTTATTTATGTATAACCATTCCTTTAAAATTTAAAATAATCATAATATAAAATAATCATTTAAATAGTTTAAATATAATATAAAATAATTTAATGTAATTTAAAATAATCATAATACATCCTATCTGCATCTGTTTTTGCATTTCTGTTTTTCATTTTAAGAAAACTGTACTTTTACTATTCATTTCAGCCTGATTTTAGTGAATGCATGTAAGTCAGTTAAAGTGTCATTTTGTGGTCTTTCCTCTGGCTGCCTTTTTATATTTTCTGGTAGTAAATTGCTACTTCATAGTCAGGGAACACTATGTATTTGCTCATTATGATTCTGTAAACTGTACAGTTCTGTCCCCACTTTGGAATCTTATAGACTAGCATCTGAAATAGTATGTATATGCTGAATTTAAATGAATGTTCAGCTGTTGAACTAATTGTGTTGAACTAATTTTTTTTTTTTTTTGCCGTTTCATGTTTTTTAGAAGCTTTGCACCGCCCCTATGGTTGTGATGTTGAATCCCAGGCCCTGAATGAAGCCATCAGATGGAGCTCCAAGGAAAACTTACTGGGAGCTACTGAGAGTGACCCTAATCTTTTTGTTGCACTTTATGATTTTGTAGCCAGTGGTGATAACACACTCAGCATTACTAAAGGTAAGCCTTCTGTGTAGTAGCATCCTTTCACTTTCCAGTTTTCATTAGTAGTTAAGAAGTAATAAGGGGGGTGGGGGGGAGTGGAGGGGTAGGGAGGGTGGGAAGGGATGGGAAGGGGAAACAAAGGAGGAGGCTATAATGCTTGATAAGAAATGTACTCATTATCTTGCCCATGTAATTGTAACCCCTCTGTACAGTATTTTCACAATAAAAATAAATAATTAATTAAAAAAAGAAGTAATAAGCCTTTTATTAGCTTCTGATTAAAATTAGCCATGTTGATTTGATACTTTTAGTTTATTTACTGTTTTGAAAAGTATATATGTATAGATATATTTGTTATATAAGTATAGATTCATATTTATATATATACAGAGCTCTTTATATATGTATGTGTATATATGTGTGTGTG